GACTAGTCCCACACACCTACCCTAGCTTAGCAGTCAAGGACATTATCCCTTTGCCAACATTCCCACCTCAGCACAGAGGCGGGGCAGGAAGGCCATGGCCATCAAGCTGCCCCGGGGATGAGGAGATGCTGAGAGCGCTCCGTCTCTCCAGGGCCCTGGGATGGATCAGGTTGCTCCGATGTTCACACAAGACCACTTCTCGACTGAGTAGCCCTGCAGCAATGGAACACCACCCGTTGACATCCGTGGACTGCAGTGGTGGGGTGCCACGTCACACAGTCCGTGGCACAGCTAACATTCAGTCTGGTCTAAGAGAGGAAAGGGAAATAAAAAAACTTGAGCACAAAACAGATGCCTCAGCCTGGTGAGCTGCTCACTGATGGACTGCATCTTCTTCCATTTCTCACCCAGCCTCAGCCCTGCCTCCCACAGCCCCATCCACTGGGGGCTGACCCCCACCTGGCTTCAGAAGCCTTCCCCACCTTACCCACCAGACAAGCACAGGCTGTGGGCAGAGGGCATCTGAGATCTGGTGCCAGGGAGGAGCCCAGGTGGCTGGAGCTGGACAACTTGAAGGTGTCGCAGACATTGGGCCAGTGTCCTTCTCAGGAGTTTGGTCACGAAGGATGTACTCTTTCCACTTGGAGGGTGTAGGGACAGTCATTGGATCTTCTCCCCTTCTCAGGCAGCTTGCCCGGCCTCATGCTCTCAGTGAACCTTCAGTGCCCTCAAAGACAGTGGCAGGGTCTCAGCCAGAAAGTTCCTAAGTGAGGGTGCCAACAGGAGACCCCAGAAATGGGCCTTGGGCCAAGGGAGCTTTCCCTTAAGATGCAGTCCTGAAGGTCACGTGGCCATTGGCCAGGGCAGCTCTGCCGCTTTTCCCTCCACCCCGTCTTGTATGTATTCTAACCAGGAAACACAGATAGCACATGGGTAACCTGGGCAGTGGGGGCATACCCCAGACGTCCTCTTGCAGCAAGTGTCTATATATGTTGTGGTTATTTTTCATGTTCTTGAATGTATATATTTCAGAAAACCGCTACCATTTCACACATACACACATGATTGACAGCTTAAAACCTTATACAATTTTAATGATAATGGCCTATCATTAGAACACCATTAATCTGTGGGAACAGAGCTCAAGAAAACAGCATGCTATAGATTCAAGCTGTCTCTACTACTATACAAATATGCATGAGGCTTTAATATTTCTCATCAAGTGACATTTCAAATATGACTTGAAACAAATTCAGTGGACTGGCAAAGCCTTTTATACAACCAGTCCCCATTACTCCAAGATCAATTATTACAATGGAAATGTGGAACTGGTGCCACCAACCAAGGGCAACTTCAGTGAAGTCAACCCTCCATTATCATTTATTTGAGCAAAAGTGAGCTGCTAACAAGAAACCAATCATGGGGCTTAAACAATAAAAACATTGATTCCTCTTTCACGCAACAGTTCAATACTCCATTTGGTCACGAAGGGATCCAGGCTCCTTCCATCTTGTCCTCTGCAATAAACCAAGGCTGGGTTATTGCTTCAATTTTGGGAAGGGAAAAAAGAGAGCATGGAGGAGGCATATCTATTGTCCTAAGGGTCCCAGACCATAAGTAACAGCACTTTCAAAGTCCATAGGAGAGAATGTAGTCTAACTTGGTCACAGCTAACTACAAGGAAAGTAAATACAGTCCTAACGAGGCAGTTAAATGACTCAATTTTGACTCCATTACCATGGAATAAGGAGATAATATATTCTAACTACCTTAGTTACTAGCCTCCCTTTTTTTGAATCACTGAGTGGGGTAACATCAGTGCTCTCATGAGAACTGGTAGGAGGGAGATGATAAATGTACTGTGCTAACCCACAAACCTTGGTGTGCCCAGGAGAAGGTGGTCGTTACGGGAGCTCCGGGTGTCAGCCTCAGCAGCATGACAGCTGTGCAGCCACCTGGGGCCAGTATCCCGTAACACTGAATACTGTCCACCAAGAATACTTCAGAATGGTCAGACCACCATCTCTAAAATGTTTGCCAAAGAACTGTCAGTCTTGGCGTTCAGGACTATGGGCAGGAAGCTCTGAAAGGAAGCTGAAACCACTACATAATATTTCGGCAAGGTAGCAGAGTCCTTTCTTAAGGGGATCTGGCCTCCCCTTCCTTCAAGAGGTTCTGCATCTATGAACTGGCTCAGGGCTAGGAAGTGGCTGAGAGTGTATGAGAAATCAACATTTTTGGCAAGAATAAATAAATACAAAAGTAGTATTTTCAAACCTCATTGTTAAGTAGGAGAGAAAGGACAAAGTTATAAGCATTCAAAATTCTTCACATTCTGCTCTCACCCTACCCTTTTCTACATTCGTCTCCTACATCTTCCCCAACCAGCTTCAATCCCTATACTGTCCCTTCCTTCTAGACGTCTAATACTTCCCTTTTCTGCTGGAATAAGACCCAGGTGTTCAATTTCACTTCTTTTGTGAAGTCTCAATAAATCTGAATCCCTAAAACATCCCAAAGGATGCTAGGAACTGGGGTCACAAAGACAGCATGGTTCCAGAGCCCTCCAGAGGTTACTACAAAGATGTGGGATTTTAACCCTGCAGCTCTCTGAAACCAGGCTCATAATTACACACCCACTGAACACTACTCTGGGCTTCACTTTATGTTTAACTGCTTCCTCAGATATCAAGACTCCCTATGACACCAAAGGTAGTAAGTAATACTTTCTGAATTCTCAAACTTCCTCCATCCTGCTGAGTGGATGAACTGAACAGTAAGGAGTAATCTTGCAGCAGAAAGGAAGAAAAATCTACATTTTAGCAAAACACTTCAAGCCCATTAAAAAGAAAAACGACAATCTGATTATTTAAACCTAGTTGCTTTATTTTGTACTTTTCAAATTCACAAGAAGCTTCACAATATCTGCTTTCCCCTTTTGATCACCAAGGCTTTATAAGACAATGAAAATGTTATCACATCAGCTGGGCAGACTCACAAACAGTGGATAATTTACAAACACATTTTTTTAATGAAGAACATTTTGCAAAATACACAAGCTGGTACACATCTGAATTTATCCTAAAATTAGACTTTAAAGCTTAAAGAAAAAAACAAAAAACACAGATTTAACACTGACAAACCTACCAGAATAAAGCTGGTGGCAAGCTTATTATATACCGCTTTAATGTTTAAATGTTATCTGTTGAACCTACATTTAAATGCATTTGAGTAAAAGTCCTATAATTTAATGAATTTCAAAAAAGTGAACAACTTTTTTGCCTCCATGGTAGTTTCTCAAGTTTATTTATTAAATTGTGACATCTCGACTAAGGAAAATGGATCCTGGAACTACAACACTGAAGGAGAAGAAACGCATGGGACAGGGGAGAAACAAAATCAGGACTTTTATTCTTTCTATGGTGATTGTAACAAACAAAATCATTGCTCATTCAATAAAGGATACCAGAGATGATATGTGGGGTTGAGTTTTGGCTATGTACAACATCTAAATGGCAATAATTAAAATTCAAGGTATTATACAGGAAACTTAAGAAAATAATTGTTGCCTTCAATTTTAAATTTGTGGAATGGCATAATACATTTTTTGAGGTACCTATTATAGGATCTGCTAAAATTATATTATTTCCACATTTAATAAAATGTTTATGTACTCTGGATAGCTGTTAAGATAGTATCAATAAAGGCCACTAAAAATGATGCCAGAATTCAGGTGAGAAGAGTGGTAATGGAAAGAGGATGGGAGGATAATGATACTGGGTAGTAATAACAAACATAATTTTTAAGGTTTCCTAACTAATGCTACAAAATTACATATTTTGGCTAAATGCCTCTGGACAGCTGGAAGTGATCAGGAAATGAGTGGAATATCCTAATCGTCCCAGTTAGATTCCTAACTAACCTGTTATTTGGATGGCTAGCTCATAAAGGATGGTTTACACAGACTGCTTGGTGAAATGAAAGGTCATTATGCCAGGCTTATTACCTACTCTGCTTTGTTTCTTCCAAGAACACTTTTGAAGGGTTAAGAACCCCTTAGAAAAGCAGCAAAAGAAAGAACTTTTTAGAATACAAAGAGATTAACAAAGACATAATCGTAAATAGTTTAATTATGGATATGTTACCGGTCTTCATTCTTGAGATAGGGAATATGGGCCAATGGAAAAAAATGTAGCTCTACTACTCCTTCAAATTCTAAATTTTTATCTTTCAATTAGAAATTTTAAAAGAAATTTAAGCTTTAAAATGGCCCTCATCTTTCATCTCAAATTACCTATATATGATGTTGTCTAAGATACACACAAGAATTTCAGGATTATTTTCATAGAAGACATTAATTTAGGTTCATTTACTTAGAAAACAGGATTTTATTGTGAGGTGTCTTTTAAGAGATTTAAGTGCTCCAGTTACCGCAATGAGAATTTATACTCAAAGCAAATATTCTCTAAGATACCAAGGTATTCAGTATACAGTGGGGCCTTGACTTACGAGTTTAATTCGTTCTGAGACCGAGCTCGTTAAGGAGCTCTTTAACTCAAATTACTCTATCAACTCAATGCAAAAAATCAGTCGAGAGACAGCTGGTATCTCAAAAAACTCATTAGTCGGGACACTTGTAAGTCAAGGCCCCACTGTATTTGCATCTTATACTTAAACATATTAAAACTTACAAAGCCTAAGATAAGCAAGCAACAAGTCAATAAGATAACTTAGAATTCTAACATTTTCACATGGTATCAATGACTATGAAATGCAAAAATCTTATAAATGTTTAAGTGGAATGATCTCTAAAAATTACACTAGTGTGACCAAACAAATGATCACATACTATGGAAGACTATAGCACATGAATAAGTACAGGAAAGCTGTTCTCCAGGACTTGAAACATTACTTGACCCATCATTTTAGAGGGGGGGAACAGGTAAGTAATTAATTAGAAGGCTCTACACGGAGATAAAACAAATTCTAATTAAAATATCTTAAGACTATTTTAGATGTTTATTTGATATTGGAATTGTGGTCAACTATAATAAAGTATTTCTCTTCATAAAAAAAAAAATCCATATTTTAAGGATTTACACAATCCAGTGGGGGAGAGGGACTATAGTACCTTTTTTTTTTTTTTGGCCTGAGCAAAGTAAATTTTTAAAAAGGCTCTCCAAAGTCTTGATTAGAGGTGTCATACTCTGCAATGAAATGCTTGAGTTCTTCCACACACCGCTCGCCTATTTCATGTAAATTCTGTCTCAATGCAAACTGTATGGACTTTTCTAATGAAGGATCTTTTTCAATCAGCATTTTCACAACCATCCCGAAAGTTTCACAGTCTTGTCGGTAAACCTAGAAAGATGAAACACATTGTGGTTAGCTGAAAGTGAAAATAATTAGTCAAAGATTGAGCTGGTTCAGTTGGCAGAATTATGATGCTACAGTTCAAAAGGGAGAGAGTAATATAACTGAACCTCTGTCAGCCCTAAGTAGTCACTAATTGCCAAAGGCCATTTAAACCTATATTTTTAAGGTTTGCTGACAACTTCGATGAGTAGGAAAACACTGCTATACCCCATCACTGACTACCGAAGTTACGCATGACTTTTGTCAGCATAAGGCAGTCTACAAAAAGGACATCAGACTAAAGGTGAGAAGAACTAGGAACAAAAGAGTAGCAAGGTAAGGCACATTAATGGATTTATTCATTTACTTGTTTGGAAGAAAAAAGTTTCTGAGCACCTAACTTCTGACCACTTGAACAATGACCAGATGACAAATTCAAAATTCTGTTAGTATACAACAAACAACTATAAGCATGCCAAAAGTAACTACTTGAAAAAAATTTCAAAGCTATAAATATTTAACTATACAGTCACCAAGGTAGAGTGTGCACACACGTGTATATATAAATCCATACATATTACATATATACGTGTATATATTTTCTACCTCAGTGTTTATATTTTACTTTAATTACTATATAATTTTTACCAGTAGCAATTAGATGGTTATTTCCTGTCCAAAAATTGCTGTTTCCTCCATACTATTCAGAAAATGTCATTTCCTTAATTTGTAGTCACAAAATACATTTTAGATGTCTATGTTATTTTTCATACTTTGTTATTCATGCATTTAGAGAAAAATTATAGTTAAATCTCCATGAAAATTAAGTGAAATACAAATTATCCTTTTTAAAAGAACTATTAAATTAATTTTGACTTTTCTAAATTTAACAAAAACAATTAATATAACATGTTTATTCTCTGAAAAAGAATTTTGTTCATTTAGAAAGCTTTAGAAAAAAACCATTTGAGATAATGCTTGGCTTGTGATAGTGTTTACTCCTCAAATGATCACTGCTAGCTGTGGTTATTGCTGCTGTATTTTTAAAATGTCTGCAATGCTTGATTTCTTAAAAATAAATATTTAAAGAATATTTAATTTTGACTCTCACTAATAGGTTGCTAAATTATATTCATGTCCTTGCTCTTGAAAACCATCCATAAACCTCAAGAAAATTAATAGGATAAATTCTTCAAATGACAGAGAAATTAAAATATATAAATCCCTTAGCTACTTTCTCCATTTCAGGGTGTGCATATGCACACCCCACACACACTTTCACTAAATAATGATGAAATTTACTTATAATAATAAGTTTAATTCCAGCTATTTAAACCAACCATTTATTCCAGTTTATCCTAAGATTTACATGACCCAGAATTGATAATACTACTCTAATAAACTAGCATAGAAAACAGTATACCATTCACATACTATAAGTGATGTCAAGGCAACAGAGCACATTAAATGCTCTAACAAACACATAGTACCCAAGTCAAGCCAATGCAGCCCCCATGGGGGGAAGCCAGAACCATGATGTTTCATTCTTAGTGGAGGTAAATTCCTTACCAAACCAGTCAGCCCACATAATAACAGCATTCTAATGCCAACCACAGGCCTCAGCAGACCACTTTGTGGGTGGCCTAAATTTTATAGGCTCCTTTATAACAGATGTACTAGATGAGGATAATGTTACACTGTGAATTAACCTGCAAATTCTTTAATGTAAATCTGCTGTTTTACCTAAACTTTAACTCTCCATTTAGCATATTTACAGAACATAAATGTGCTACAGATGTGCATATCAAAAGTAAAACCATATTAAAATGTGTTCATACATTTATTTAAATTGTAAACTACTATCACTCTGGAGACAAGGTAATACAAGCATTTAAAGATTATGTTTTATTTTTTAATTTTAAGTCCTTTCTGAATTATTCACTGAAATAGACAAATATTATACATTAGTTAAGAACAACCAGAACTGCCCAAAGCAATGTAACCCTCTACTAAAGGGTAAATTTTCTAAAGAGACTGCTTCAAATACACTAGTAGGCCATTAGACAGGAAATAATTAGTTTTTTGTTAAAGGAAGAACCACACCCTCCAACATTTTATAAATAAAATTCACAACTGTCAGAAACCTATTTCCGAAATCTGTTCCACAGTAAACTCAGTCCCAAACAGGAAGGGTGTAGTTATCTGTGGGAGAGTTTGTTTGCTTATGGTCCCTAGCTGGAAATGCATTCTAATCTTCAGATTTGATATCTACAGGCCACACAGGAAGAATATTTTGTTGCTCTTTTCCCCCTGATTGGAGTTCATCAAAATGGGAAACAGGTTAAAGTTTGGGCGGGGTTCACATAAACTGCAAAGAACTGTAGTTAAATTTGCCAGAATAATAAAGATACTATCCAAGTGTGGTTTCACACAGTCCTTTATTACAGTAGCCTGTGTTAATAAAGTCTCATACAGTACTTCTAGGAATAAAGGAGTATGACAAAATAAACTACCAAGGCATTTTACTATTAATTATGCTTCTGGTGATTGGAAGAAGAGCATCTGGCCAAACAAGCTCAATGGCAAGTTTGTTCTATATCTAAAATACCTGTAATAACATAAACCACCTCTAAAATGTGTATTATTTTAGGCCTCAACTCTGATCCCACAAATAGAGAAACTAAAAATTAAGACCACATGAATTATTAGAATTTTCATTTCAGACAAGTTTTCTTTAGCATTAGCATCCCACTGATGTCTGAGAAGTCTGATGGAATGCCTGAGGTCAGAGTTGTGCTATCTAATACAGCAGCCAACTAGCCACAGGAGGCTACTAAGTTTGAGTATGTATGCATATACTTACCTTAATATTTAATTTATAATTTAGTTTATATTAATGTTAGGAGGTAACTGGTTAACTGCAAAAGTGAGCCATGCACACAGCCTTAAAAAGCTGGGGAATCAAATAAAAACAATTATTTTCTCTATTGTTGATGCCTCATCATTCTATATATTTTCCTTGATCTGAACTCATTTGGTTCAAATGCTGTATGTCCTGTGACCATCCTAGTTGGAAAGGTAAACACAGACAACTAAAACAAAGCATAAAGGAAACATTTAGATGTTAAAGGTGGTATCGAAGTTGGATAAAACAGAGAAGCAGTTCCATGAATAGGCTTATTGAGTTCAAATCCTGACTCCACTACTGCGGGAGGCTGAATAATGCCACCTACCCCATAGCCAAGATGTCCAGATCCTAAACCAGCCATGGGCAAACTACTTTGTTACTAATGTTGTGGCCCCACCCCATAACAAAGAAACAGAATTTCCGGAGGATGAGGCCCAGAAATCAGGATTTTAAAAGATTCCCAGGTGATTCTAATGTGCAGCCAAGGCTGAGAACCACTGCCTTACAAGGTATAAGGGGCTTTGCAGATGGGCTTATGTTAAGGATTTTGAGTTGGGGAGATTATCCTGGAATATCCATGTGGGGAAAATGTAATCACAAAAATCATGTAAACAAGAAATGCAGGAGTGCCAGGGGAAAAAAAGGAAATGTGACCACAGAAATAGAGGTGGAATGATGAGCTTTAAAGATGGAGGAAGGAGCCACCAGCCAAGGAATGAGGCAGCCTCTAGAGAACCGACAAGGCAAGGAAGCGATTCTCCTCTGGCAACTCCGGAGGAAGTGCAGCCCTGCAGACACCGTGGTTTGGGCCTGGAGAAACCCATTTCGAGCTCTGCAGGTTTTTCCAAGCTGACATGGAATATTTACCAGAATAGACAACATCCTGCAATCATAAAACACACCTTAACAAATTGAAAAAACAGAAATCATATACTATATGCTCTCAAACCATAAAGGAATTAAATTAGAAATAACAGAACGACAGGTAGAAAAATCTCAAAATATTTGGAGATTAAACAACACACTTTCAAATAACACAGAGATCAAAAAAGTCTCAAGAGAAATGTAAAAATATTTTGAACTAAATGAAAATACAACTTATCAAAATTTGTGGGATGCAGTAAAAGTAGAGCATAGCAATTTATAGCATTGAATGCACATTAGAAAAAATAAAGATATAAAGTTAATATTCGAAACTAGAAAACAAGAAAAAGAGTAAATTAAATGCAATGTAAGCAATGAAACTGAAAGCAGGAAATTAGAGAAATCACTAAACTTAAAGCTGATTCTTTGAAAAGATTTTTTTTAAAAAGCAATAAACCTCTAGCCAAGCTGACCAAGACAAAAAAGAGAGAAGACAAAAATTATTTAATATCAAAATTGAAACAGGAGTCATCACTGCTGACTTCATGGACATTAAAAGGATAATAAAGTATTAATAACTCTCTGCCTAATTTGATAGCTTACATGAAATGCACCAAGTCCTAGAAAGACAGAGTGTCCAAAACTCAGACAAGGATAAATAAAGCATCTGAATAGGCCTATATCTATGAAAGAAATTGAATCAATAATTAATAAATTTGCCAAACAGAAAGCACTAAGTGATTTCACTGGTGAATTCTACTAAACATTTAAGGAAGAAATTATACTACTTCTCCACAATCACTTCTAGTAAACAGAAGCAGAGGGAACATTTCCTAACATTCTATGAAGCCAACATTACCCTATTACCAAAATAAGACAAAGGCATTAGGAAAGAAAATTACAAGACCAATGTGTGTGTGTGTGTGTGTGTGTGTGTGTGTATCTGACACGTGTGTCATAGGTTCGCCATCACTGGCATACATGCTGCATTAGAAACAAAGTGTAATGAAATTTGCAATAACCTATCTATTAAAGGAGAAACATGGCAATTGGTGTACAACCGCTACCATTCCCATTGATTAATCAGAGATATGCAAATTAACTGCCAGCCAAGATGGCAGCCGGCAGCCAGGCAGCTTGAAACTAACATGAGGCTTGCTTGCTTCAGTCACGGAGGAAACCAACGTTCCCCGCCTGCCTTGCAGGCCTCTGAGCCTGCAGTTTGAAACATTTT